GAATCAATGTGTCACAAAGCCCCCCATTCAGAGAGGGGGTGGGTGTCATCAACTCAAGGAAATAGTGCTCCCCAAAGCCTGGCATTTACTGACAGACACAGGGCAGGAGATGCCACACAGACACACAACAGCGCAAAGGCCACAACGACAACTCACATTTCCAAAGCCTCCTAAGGTTTACAAAGCATTTTATCAGGAGGCAGGTGCTGCGTTATTATCCCCATTTTAAAGATGAGTAAACTGAGGCTCAGAGAATATGTGAATTGCCCACAGTCTCACAACCCATTAAATGTCACAACAAAGGCTCAAATCCAGATCACGTGAACACAAATCCCATCCTCTTTTCACTAGATCATGCAAGCAGATGCACTGACACTCACTCAAATGCACATTCTCCCTATCTGGGAATGAAACGGGAGGTGGAGATGGTGACAAGGCAGGGGATGGGGGCAGAAAGCACGCAAGAAGGAGAGGATGCCATCAGGAGGCCCGATCCAGTTCTGTCACTGATGCCATGTGTGATCTTGGGCAAGTCACTTAAGCACACACATGTATAAAGGCTATGTAGGCATACACACACGCACATGCATGTATACACATGTGTATATACAACACCATGGAGGCACACGTATGTGCATGCAGGCGCGCGCGCGCACACACACAGCCCCAGGTAGCAGAAGGCACAGGTGCGCTTCCCAGGACTGGCAAAAACAAGTTCATAGACGCAGCAAAGAATGCAGCAGGCAAAGACAAGCCTCCTGGGCCCCGTCCTGGCCCATATCTGAATGGAGAGCATCCCCCCAAGTCGACTGGCTGGCTTCCTTCCTTCCTTAAGACAGACACCTGGAAGGGGGAGGGGAGAAGAGGAGGGGCTAGGACGCCCTCCAGTTAGGAGACAGATGATCTCTCTTCCTCTCCCCTAACCCAAACTCCATCCATCCTTCAGGGCTCAGCTCAAGTTTCACCTCTCCTGGGTCTTCTCCAGGCTCCTGTGACCCTTCCTTTCCTGGAGATGCCTCTGGAATTTGAGCCACACGTGACAATCCCATGCCTACCCGGGCACCGCCTCGGAGAGGCCAATGACTATTTCACGTGTTTCAGTCTTGCCTGCCCAAGAGCTCCCTGGAGGCAGTTCTGTGACTCCTTTCTCTGTGGGTTCTGGGGCCCCGCACACCCCAGCATCTCCCTTGGGGCAGGTAAAGGGAAAACTCCATCATGTCAAAGAGTCTTAGGATCTCAGACCTGGAAGGGAACCCTGGGAGAGTATGGGAAGCAAGAAAAAAACACTGAAATTGAAGAGCCAGAGGAGCTGAGTTTGAATCCTGCCTGTGCTTATTACCTCAGTTTCCCCGCATGTAAAATAGGGGAGCCGAGGATTGACCTCAATGACTCCTTCTTGATCTGTGATCCTATGATCATCTAATAGAGAAGGAAACCCTAGGCCCAGAAAGGAGGAAATTATTTGCCCAAGGTCACACAAAGAGTCAGGCTTGGCCAGATCTAGACCCAGGTGGTAGATGAGATGTGACGGGTTACTGTTCATGGGCAGCAGTCATGAAGTGCGGTGCCCCCACGGGCCCAGCTGGCTAACAAAAACTTGAGCCCCCAGGCCCCCAGCCACGTCTGCTTGGCAGCCTCAGCGGCCCCAGGTACTGCCCGGGAGGGAGGGTGAGGGAGATGACCAATCAGAAGGAAGGCCGCCACGCGCTCCTGCCGCAGGAAGTGATGAATTAGTGAAGGAGGTGCTCAGGAGAAAACCAATTGACTGAGACTTCTAAAGCAGCTTTCAAAGGGGTTTTCATTATTATTATTATTATTATCATCTGTCCTCTCTCCCAGACACTTCTGCTCTGGCTCTCTCAGTCTCTTCCCTCCCACCTCCTCTATCTTCCCACGTCCCTTGGTTTCCTCCCCACCCCCCAGGCTCCCTCTCCCTGGCTCCCTCCCTCCCACTCTTGCCCTCCTTTCCTTTATTTCTCTTCTCCCCTTCTAATTCTTCCTTGCCTGACTCCTCCTCTCTCCACTCACTCTCATTCCTTCCTCCCTCCTCTCTCCATCATTCATTCTCATTCCCTTTCTCCCTCCTCTCTCCATCATTCTCATTCCTTCCTTTCCCTCCTCTCCCTCCACTTTCATTCCTTTCTCCATCACTCACTTTCATTCCCTTCCTTCCCTTCTTTCTTTTCCCCCATCCCTCTCTCGTTCCCTTCCCCTTTCTCCTTCCTTCCATCAATCCCCCTTCCTTTTCTGTATCTCCTATCTCTCTCTTTTTCTCCAAACACTGCCCTCCTTTCTTCTTCCCTCCCTCCCTTCCTTCCTTTCTCTTGCCATCATCCCTCCTTCCTCTCATTTATCATACCCTCCTTTTCCTGACTTACAGGAAGACCTCTGAGGCAGGGTCAGAGGATGGTGGATTAAAAAACATGGGAGTCTGACCATGGTAAAAATGAAGAAATCTTTATCACAGCAACACACGATTAAATCTGGAAAAGACACTCCACGTACGTCTAGGCCAGGGCTGGGTATGTTTTAATAGGCTCTAAGTTAATTCTGGGGAGTCCCCTCCCAGCTCTGACACCCAGAGCAAGAAGCAGCGAAGTAGTACAGTGAGAACACTAGGCCAAGAGTTAGGAAGAGCTGAGTTCAGATAGAACCTCAGATGCCTGCCATGCGACCCTAGGCAAGTCACTTCACCTGCCTCAGTTTCCTCAACTGTAAAATGCAGATAATGATAATAACAGCACCTACCTCTCAGGATTGTAGGACCAAATAAGACATTTGTGAAGTGCTTAAGCACAGTGTCTGGCACATAGTAGGTGTTTAATAAATGTTTGTTTCCTTCCTTCCTACTAATTAAGCGATTCATTGTCCCTCTTAGGGCTTCAGTTATGCCCTCTATAAAATGAAGGTGTTCCTTTGACCACTGATACCATTTCTAAGCACATCCTCCAAGGAAGTCAAAGACAGAGGGAAAGACCATATAGACAAAAATATCTGGAGCAATGCTTTTTTTTGTTGTTAGGATTAATGAAAATCAGCACCTGTCTCTTGGAGCATGGCATGGGGGCACTGAGAGATTCAGTGATGTGGCCAGGGTACATGAAGTGGCAAGACTTGAACTCGGGTCTGCCTGACTTTGAGGTCAACTCTCCATCCACTAGGCCACCGTGCTTCTCTACAGCAGCAACACCGGAAGGAAAGTGGATACCCAACAACTAGGGAATGGCTGAACAAAACGTGCTACGTAAATATAATGGGATATTGTTACACTGTAAAGAAATGATGAATGTGAAGAATTCAGAAAAACACGGGAAGACTTCTATGAACTGATGCAAAGTGAAGAAAGAAGAACCAGGAGAAAAATTTACAGGCTGAGCACACTAATGGAAAGGCAAACAACGCTGAAAGGCTTCAGAAATCTGACCAATGCAATGGTCATCCAGAACTCCAGCGGGCTGACGGTGAACAGAGGCAGGAGACCAGAGGGGCGGCATGAGGCAGATGTAGTCAGATGTGGCCAATAAGGTCATTTGTTTTGCTTGAAAAGGGAAGGTCCTATGGAGTTAGGGCTGTCAGTAAAAACTGATGGTGAGGGGAAAAGAAAAGAAAACATATCAAACATCTAAAAAATAAAATGAAATGAGGGGTTTGAACCAGATTATCTCCAAGGTCCCTTCCAGCTCTAATATTCTGTGAGTCATTATTTCCATTCTCGAAAGGGGCAGGGGCTGACCCCAGAGAGGATAGAGAGATACAACACTGGGCTGATCTGTACTTCCTCATCCTCTAATAGAGCCCCAAACTGATTCCAACTTGGTCATGCAGCTGGGGGCCCTCAAGGGTGAATGATCAGGAGGACTTCTGCAATAAGAGGAAGGTTGAACTAGAGCTAAGGAGCTCCCTGCCCCTTAGCCCCAGGCAAAGATAATGTGAGGAACATCAGGAGGACAGCAGAAACAGGCCAAAAGAGACAAGCCACTTGGGGACTTCCTGCCAGAATCCACCAGGGCACTCCCTACCCAGCATCAAAACATACGGGCTAGAAACCTCTCCTAAGTGCCTACTATGTGCCCCAGCCTGCTGGGATGAGAGAAAAGGGAGTGTATCTCAGGGAGTGGAGAGAGAAAATGTCTTCTACTGACAAGAACACCTAAAATCAGGAGATCAAGGTCCCTATGCCCATTCTGATGCGAGCTGGGTGGTCAAGGACAATTGCTTCCTCCTCTGTAAAATATGAGGATAACAATAACACCTACCTCAGGGTTCATGGGAGGATCAAAGAGATTAATGGAAGGTAAACACCTTGAAAACCTTAAAACACTCTGTAAATAGTATTAATCAGTTATTAGTATTATTATTATTTCTACTTCTCCTCCTAAGACCTGAGTTCAAATCCTTCCTCAGACCCTTACTAGCTATATGACCTAGGCAAGTTCATGCAGCCATTCTGCGCCTCAGTTTCCTCATCTGTAAAACAAAGGTAACAGCACCTACTTCCTAAGACAGTTGTGAGGCCCAAACAAGATAATATATGTAAAGTGCTTTGCAAACCTGAAAGCTCTATATAAATGTTATCATTGTTATAACATTATTAAACAGTAGAGGATGATATAAATGTCTATTACTTTGATTTCCATCCCCATCATTTCTTCTGATCCTCACAGAAGTCCCATGAGATAGAAAGAGCAGGGATTATGATCCCCCTCTTTTTTTTTACAGGAGAGAAAAATCAAGTCTTGGGGTGGCTCAGTGACTTCCTCGAGACCACACAGCAGGCAGGAGGGATGGGAAAGAACCCAGGGCACCTGGCACGGAAGCCTGTGCTCCTTCCATGAAATCATGGTGCCTCCTCTCGGCTCCCAGACTTTGATGTATATAAAATGGCTATGCATACAACTTTTTAGCAGCACAACCTCCCCAAAACCTGGCACACAGAAGGGACTCATCATGCCAAGAACACCAGTGAACAAGAGTACAGGAATGCAGACCCGGGCACATACCTGTTTCTCGGTCATGGCATAGATATACTGCCGGCTGGGGCTGAGGACTAGATCTCTCAGAATGGAGCTGCCCTCGTGGGCCACCACATTCTCGTACTGCAAGGCAGGGCGTCCCCCGGGACTGGACAAGTCCACTAGAATCTGTGGAAAGGAGAGGAAGGAGAAAGTCAGACTCTTTGGACAAACATCTAGCAACACCCCCCCCCCAAGAGCTGAATGCGGGACCCCCATCTCCTACTCATAGGGGCAGATGTCACCTCCATCATAATCCCTTCTGGGAGACTGTATCCCTTACTGGTACTCCATTCTCCAAAGGGGCAGGGGCTTTGCTGGGAGTTCAATAAGGAGACTTCATCATCCATACAAGTTGCAAAGAAGAGATTGGACGCAGATTCCCCACTGAATTCCTGAGAAGGAAGTAGATGTAGAGATTCCCTGTGCCAGGGCAGTGTACTGGAAAGAATACTGAACATGGGAATCAAGAGAACCTGGATTCAGATCCCAGCTGCACCACTGTGACTTTGGGCAAAAAACTTTCACTTTCTGGGCCTCAGTTTCCTCACAGATAAAACTCAAGACTCGTGGATTTCTCCTATGTCTTCTAATAAATCCTATGATCTGCTTTGTATAATTCAACTCTCTCGTTACAGATAAAGCAGGTGGTGGGATTTGGGAGATACTGAAAGGCTTCTTGCCTTAGACCAAAGCAATCTCCTCCACCAGCTTGCCTGAAATTCTCACTGTTAATCACCCTCTTGAGTCAGAGCATTCTGTCTCCAGAAGGCACCTGTTCACAGACAACTGCAGGGGAAAGGAAGCAGCTTTGGATTCCAAGTCAAAGGACCTGGGACCAAGTCCCTGTTTTGCCATTTGCTATGTGATAGAAAAACATGAGGAGGGCCCTGAGGGATGATGGAAAGAGGGGAGACCTGGGTTTGAATGCTGCCTCTCACACCTCCCAGCTGTGTGCCCAGGACAGATGACTTAACCCCTCTGAACCTCCCTCACCAGAGTTGTAGTAAGGGCTAAATGAGATGATGTATATAAAGTGCTTTGTCAGCTTAAAGTGCCACATTCTCGTCACTCATTAGAGTTGTAATTAGTATTCAGAATGCCAAAACAGTGAGAGCCCTTTCCTGGCCTCAGCTTGACAATCCCTAGCTTGGAACCCAATCAGAGTTCCCCCTCTGGCCTCCAATGCCCAACCTCAACCCTAAACACCCCAATCCTCATCCCATCCTGATCTTCTTGGCTCAGTTCCAGTCTCCGCCTTCCATGATAAAGCCCCGAGTCATTTGCATAGCTTCCCATCCAGAAAGAGGGAGCTGGGGGAGAGAAATAGGGCCCCCCTTGCCCCCAGCCACCTTATTAGCATGGAAATGTATTCCAGATCACAAACAAACTGGGGGCTGTTTAATTAGAGCGACTCCTCTGATTCCCCGCCAGCCAGCCTGCCGATAACATCAGCCAGGAGTATTTTTAGTCGCTTTCACAAAACAAATGTATTTAATTAAGAGAGAGATACCCCTGAGGAACTTCCCAGAAATGTGAACTTCCCTGCAAACCACAGGGGCAGTGGGATGTGGGTCTGACTCTGGGGCTGGAAGTGGGGGACAGAGAGAGGCAGGGACCTCGGCTCCTCCTCCCGGCCTCCCCGCGGCTCCCAAAGACCCTCTCCAGGCAGAGAAAGGCGCTGGGGTGACGGGAGGAAATGTGTTCATTAGGGCTGACTCACCCCAAACGCCTGCTCCTTTCCTCCGCCATGCTGGGAGGCAGCATGGTGTGTGGCATTGGGCTAGAACACTGGTCTGGGTTCCAGTGCCAGCCAGACTGCCACCACCAATGAGGTTATCAACAGAAGGAACCTTAGGAAGAGGAAACTGAGCTCGGGGACTCTCTCCTCAGCTAGCTCTATGACACCTGGGCCTCAGTTTCCTCATCTGTAAAATGAATTAGAGCCCCCTCCCATCTCTGATATTCTAGGATATTCAGGTCCGACTTGGTGACATGGTATGATTCTGCTTCATGATTATCAGTTGTGATGGGAAAGGGATGGAAAAGAGTGGGGGAGGTTGGTATGGAGGAGAGGATACATGAGAGCAAAATCTAGGGAGGGGAGAGAGGATCAGAGAAGTGGAAGGAATCTGAAATGTAATCTATCTGTTCTGTTACCCAAAGGTCCAGGGCTCAATACCCAATATCCTTCGCTGTCCAGAACCACAGGTAGGAAATCCTGGGGGGAGAAATTGTCTTAGGTAGTAAAAAAATAAACTAGGTCACCAAGTGATAAAGAGGTTTGCTTACACCTGACTCATCTGGGACTTCAATCGCAGCTATAGCCACTGAGAAACAAGGCAGCACTGGGTGACAGAGAGAAGGGAAACAGATTCCTCCATCCCACCATCGAAGAGGCTGCCACCTTCCTCCCCTCCCATTGCTTCTGATCAGAAGGCACTCAGAGGCAGCTCTTTCTCTCTCTCCCCTATCTCCCCTTATCCACTCCCAATTCTAGGGTGTTTGAAGGTTTACTAAGACCCTTTCCTCATCACCCTGTAAGGGGGGTAGTGGAAGGATCACTCCCCTCCCCATTTTACAACTGGGGAAACTGAGGCTTAAAGCAACTTCCTTCTCAAGGACTCAGTTTCCTCATATGTAATGAATGACAGTTGGACTGCTTGGCTTCCCTCTCCTTCAAACTGTGGCCCAAATGAGTTTCCTTAAGGGCAGATCTGATCATGTCACCCTTTCTCTCAATTAACTCCAGCGGCTCCGCTTTGCCTTTCAGACCAAATACCAACTCCTCTGGCTGGCACTAACCATCCTTCGCAACCTGGCTCCTTCCCAGCCTCACTTCTCTCCATCACACACTCTTCTGTCCCATCAAACTGGCCTTCGCACGAGGTATTCCAAGCCACTCTCTCCTCTCGCCACCTCCACCTCTTAGGAACCTTCAGAATTCAGCTGAAAGCTCACCTCCTACTCGACCTGAGGTCTCTTCTGAGCCCCGCTCTCAGCTTCCCCAAATCGCCCTGTATTTATCTTAAACATATGCAGTACCTGTGGTCTCCCTTGATAGGACGTATGTTATAATTTCTATAGATTTCTGTGCACGTATTGTTTTTCCCTAAAGAATGTAAGCTCCTTGGGGGCAGGGACCATTTCACTTTGGTCTTTCCATCCCACAACACCTTAAATAGTACAAACACTTAATACATGCTTACTGAATTAATGGGTAATAAACATTTGCTGAATTAAACTTTATTTCAACTCTGAGCTTCTGTGATTCTAAAGCCAACAGAGACTGGTGTTGAGTGGATCAAATCTGCTCGGGGTATGAGCTAGCAGAATTAAGGAAAAAGGGAGGAAGTAGATCTCTAGAATGAATGTATATAGAACTTTAAAGATTACCAAGTGCTCTACAAACATTACCTCCCTTTATCCTCAGGAAAACCCTGGAAGGTAGGTACTACTATTAATCCCATTTTACAGATGAGGAAACCAAGACAAAGTTTAAGTGACTGGGCCAGGCTCACACAGCTAGTAAATAATATCAGAGGTTGAATCTGAACTCAGGTCTTCCTGACTCCAGGTCCAATGCTCTAATCACTGCACCACCTGGATGCCTCAAACAGCAACAGAGGCTTTACAAAGGGCTAAGGACCAGGAAACAAAGTCCTGAGGTGGGAATCAGGAAGTGGAAATATTTGGAGACAATGGGACCGAGTTCTAGCCTAGACTCTCTGCAATTTACCAGCCAGGAGATCTCGGGTAACGCAATTCCCTTCTCTGGGCCTCAGTTTCCCCTTCTGTAAGATGAAAGGGCTAGACTAGGATGGCAGATTTAGACACAGAAGAGAGCTTCAAGGTAACCTAGTTTAACGTTTTAAAGAAACTGAGGCTGAGAGGGTGTGACTTACCCAAAGTCACCACAGCAGTGAAGGGTGGAGAAAGGGTATGAACATGGGTCTTTTGACTCCAAATCCAGAAGTCTCTAGGGCCCCTTCCAGTGCTAAGCTTCTAAAATTCTGTAAGGGGGAAGGGATGAATGAAGCCCAGCTAGGGTGGGAGACATTCCTGAAACCCAATATGCAAAACAAAGTCTGCTTTCCCTCCTCGATCCCACATCCGCTCCAGGTCACCCCCTTGCCAATCCCTGGCCCCTTCTCTTAAATCAAACCAGACAGAACCAGAGAAAGCTATGCTTCCAAAAAGAAAATAAATACTGTAGGAGTCACTGGGCCAGCAACTTGAGTCATGGGCTAGAACCCTGGGGAAAAGTCCCAAGCCAGGTGAAGGAGGAGGGGAGAGTATCCGCATCCAGGCAAGGCAAGACAGTTCTGCATCTGGCTCCCTAGGGGCTGCGGGAGGGAGCTGCCCAAAGAATCAGTTAATCACTCACCAAGTCTGTGGGGCACCAAAGCCCTGAGTCAGAAACTGTAGGAGGGATAGAAGGAAGAGGCTGGGAGAGCTTACTATTTCGTTAGAGAGCTAAAACAATCACTGAACCTACAAGCACTGATTAAGCACCTACTGTATGCCAAGCATTGCAAGCTCTGGGGTTACGGGGGGGGGGGGGGGGAAGCCCCTGTCCTCAACAATATGTGTACATATAAGACTACAGAAAATATAAATGAAACAAGTACAAGACGATTTGGGGGTACAGGAGGCAGCACATGTTGGGGGGATCAGGAAAGGCCTCGTGTAGGAGGCAGCCTCGATTTGGCTTGGCAATCAGATGGCCGAGATTTGAAACTCTGATTACTTGTTGTTCTGTCATGTTCAGTCCTGTCCAACTCTTTGTGACCTCATTTAGGGTTTTCTTGGCAAAGATACTGGAGTGATTTACCATTTCCTTCTCCAGCTCATTTTACAGATGAGGAAATCGAGGCATACAGGGTTAAGTGACTTGCCCAGGGTCACACAGCAAGTAAGGGTCTGAGGCCAGATTTGAACTCAGCAAGATGGGTCTTCCTGACTCCAAGCCCCGTGCCCTCGCCACTGTGCTAGTGAGCTTCCCTCTGATTATTTACTAGCCTCACTGGTACCACAGCTAGAACTGCTCAAACTTCCTACAAAGAACCAAGTCTATAAAAACCACCGCCTGTCCCAAAGTGGGGCCATTAGCCCAGGGAAGGTCAGCT